TTCTATGTAATGCAGGCAGGACTCAGTGCCGATAGCTGCTCTTACTTCTTCATTTCTCTGCCTGTCTCGTCTTTTGATGTTAAAGGTTTTGCGGAGACATTTCATTTCGCATGCGGTGATTTTGCTTTCATGGGTTTTGCTTAAGGTCCAGGTCTGGCACTGGTAACATAATGTTGGTATGAATATTGAGGTGATACGCTGTCTCTTTGTGTCCATGGAGATGTTTGGATGAGATAGGAGGGGTGCGAGCTGGTAAGTGACAGCGTTGGCTTTTTGAGTTCGCATTTCTATTTCTCTGTCTATGGACCCGTTTTCAGAAAAAGTGCTGCCAAGATATTTAAACCCCTTCACCTGTTTCAGTTGTTGACTCTTGACATGGATGTTCAGGGGACTATGGTTTCGGCTCACTTTCATAACTTCAGTCTTTGATGTGCTTATTTTCATGTTGAATTTACACCCTCATCAACACAATTTTTATCATTAAGGAAGCTGGCTTCTGATGCTACCTATCAGGGTCAACCTGACCTGAGAGGGACACAACATCCCAGCAGAAAGACCGAGATACTTGATGAAGGTTTCTCCCCCATTTGGGAATCAAACTACATTCTCCTCTATGCGAAGGCCTTAACCACTACACCACAGACATCGCTAAAGTAAATAGTGTTTTTCAATACGAACAGAGCAACTACATGATGACACAACCTGACACACAAGACGACACAACCTCACACACAAGACGACACAACCTGACACACAAGACGACACAACCTCACACACAAGAAGACACAACACTACACAACACCACACAAGACTACACAAACTGACACACAAGAAGATATAACACCACACAAGACGACACAACCTGACACACAAGGCGACACAAGACGACACAACCTGACACACAAGAAGACACAACCTGACACACAAGACGACACAACCTGACACACAAGAAGACACAACACTACACAAGACAACACAACCTGACACACAAGACGACACAACCTGACACACAAGACGACACAACCTGACACACAAGACGACACAACCTGACACACAAGAAGACACAACCTGACACACAAGAAGACACAACCTGACACACAAGACGACACAACCTGACACACAAGACGACA